TCAACAACGACAGCAACAATACCTACAACATCAACAACAACAATAATAATATCTACAACATCAACAACGACAGCAACAATACGTACAACATCAACAATAACAATACCTACAACAACAATGCCTATAACAACAACATTCACAACAACAATACCTACAAAAACAACAACAGCAAAAACAAAAGTTAAACAAGAAAGAGAAATATAATTAAAAATACGCGAGACAGAACCCCCGAGTCCTACCATTCAATCTTTTTCTACGCCGTACCTTTGTGATGGCAACATTGTTGCTGAATCCTGGTGAGAAAATTAGGCCTTCTTCTGAGGGAAAAGGCATGATATTACGATCGTGAACAACCACAACGGCKCCGACATTGGGAGAAAGGGCGCCAACATATTCATCACTTTCGATGTTTAGAAGCAATTGTAGAGCTGCGAACAAATCAATAATACGATGAAGTGAATAATACTGAAGACDGTGCCATGAGGTGAAAACACCATTTAATGCCAAAACAGGCTGTCCAGGATCGAGAGGGTTATGAATACATGATCACATTATATGGTCATAGCATTTTATAAATGTAAATGACAAATCAAATTTTTCTACGATTGATTTACTTTGTTCTTCATGTGAAGTTTCTCTTGAAGCGTAAGCCGCAGGCCGGTCGTTTTCATTTGAGTTGAACGTAAAGCAATTACCATACGTAGGCGAATATAAATATTCCAGGCTAAAATGCAAATGAAATTTGGTCTCAGAGGCGGTTCCCGGACAATGCAAATTGGGGTAGTTATCTTGAGGTAAAAAATATTGCCGTAGGAAATCCTTTGATTTTGGGCTCTGGAAAATTCCTTTCCAGTACAAATCCCATTCAAATCCCATTCAAATCCCATTCAGTTGCAATTCATTATTTCCTAAATTTTTACACAATTTTCTATTACCAATATTTTGAAAACCTAGGAAGCATTGTACCTGTTATCGCAAGGTTTGTTTTTCCACAAACATTCAAGAATTAAAGTATTTTCTTGGTGTCCAAGWTCTTTTAATGTGCTGTCATTTTGACTTGCCACGAACGCTTGTAGCATTTTGTACACGTTCGTTTTATAACCTAAAATGCAACAGATTACTAGAAACTTTGAAAGGACGAGATATATTAGTACAAGATRAAACAAGGGGCAAGTTGTCTATTTMCRTAACRAGCAGTTTTCGGCTTCTTTCTGCTGTCTTATCTACTTTATTAATTGCAATCCTCTTACCAGCAGGGTCCACAAAAGAACTGTTCATCCTTTTTGTATAATCCTAGAAGTAATAAGAAATTAGGAGAAAAGGTCTCAAAACTATAACAATGCTCACAAGAAATTAAAAAGTCACCAAGCAGAGTTTAATTAAAACATAAAAAAAGAAGTTTTGATTTAATCATAGAAGATTGATGGTTATACAGATGTTTTTTATGCTTGTAAAACTTCAATATTAGATGACTTACTTTTGACTTATAATTAGAAGCATTTCTTGTCCGTTTCGAGGTGTTGATTCAAAGTTTTTGTCAAAGGTTTACTTACCTCATGGATTTGCGAGACAAATGTAGTAGCGTTATTGATCTTTTTTTTCCTTAAAGGGTTTAGATTACAAATGGTTACTGCAGGAAATTCTAGATCGGTGAAGACTTTCCAAGTGTTATTTATACTTATTGGATCTCGTAGGTACTTCCTTACTGAATCTCTGCACTGATAAATTGCATAGCYCAGAGAAGAAATGAATAATATACCCCACAATAAACGCCTTTTTAAAGAATTTTGTAACGTCTGCCTTGACACGCTATGGATTGTGGTGCTTTGTGTGAAATGGAGCAGTTTTTTTCTTAAAGGATGGTTGTCTTTTGGAGGTTCWTCCGCCATGACCGCACGACAAAAGTGTAAAAGAATCTAAACCAGCCCTACCTTGATCATTTTTAATTAAATTAAATCTCGATTCCCGTGACAGATGGATGGATGAATTCATTATTTCTAGCTGCGAGTATGATGGAGCTGGGTTTATTATTGGATATCACACATAGTTCACCTTACAGGTGGCACYAATGAATGGAGATGAATATAATTGAATGAATATGAATTCGGGATGGATGTGTGGACGAGTTTACAAAAGATGCATTGATTTAAAAAAAACTATTATTATCCTGCAAGCTGGGTGTCCCGCCTAACGTTTCTCGTTAGATTTTGAAATATAGAACAATCAAGTATAACAAATTGTAATATTTGGATTTTTAATTTTGTGCACAAGTAAAATAATAATAATGAATATTTCAATAATAGATATAATATTTCCGAGATTGAGTTCTCAGATGGCTAAACGATGTGAATGAGTTGGGTTTTCAGTCRGACCACTCRTCGTCATCRTCATCATCCCAGTCATCATCATCATCGTCATCATCATCTTCATCTAAATAATAAAAAAATAGACGGGAAAATAAGCTACATTGATAGCCAAAGGCTTTCTAGTATTAACCAAGGTCTACCTGACGAATGCATGACTTTAGATCGTAAATCCATCGCTCTAGCCAGAGCACCGCCTACACCATCTTGTACCTCGTCTTGCTTTRGTGGCTGAATTGATCGATCGACCTGTACAAACATTACATTTAAATACACAAATCCTTCCAACGAGAGTGATAACGGAATACTAATTCATCAGATACAAATAACTATAGAACGATTGTAATGTGAAAACAGTTGATAATATCGATAGAAGAAACACTTAGTCATCATGATTATAATACCTTCTTTAACGTGGTTCCTGCTAAGATACTTTCCATTAACGATCCTCCAGCAGAACTAAGACCAGTACCGACAACTCGTAGTACATTTACAGGCGAGTCTCCTGCAGTCGACTTGATATCTACTGGTATGACAGGTGGTGGTGGTGGCGGAGGAGGAGGAGGAGGGGGTGGCGGGGGAGGTGCAGCAGACTGTGGAGGGGGAGGTGTTGGTGGTTCAGCAGGATGTCCTTGAGGAGTTTCCAGTGGTTTGTCTATACCTGTAGTTGGTGGAGCTGGTGGTGGAGGAGGAGGTGGTGATGTCACACTTGGTGTCGGAGGAGGTGGTGATATCGTTCTTGAATCAGGAGGCGGCGTTACCTCTTTSAAGGATGGAGGGGGTACTACGTTTGATTGATCCATCTCCCATGTGGGACGTGTGAGTTCCACTGTTTCGTAATGATCGCTTTCCACGTGACCTGGTGTAAACGGAAAAGTATACGAACCTCAACCAAGTGGACTGCATACGATCACGTTTGGATTTTTCATATTAACGTCTGGTCTCCATGTGATCAGTATTTCCATATTTTCCAACGCGTTTGGGGGGACAATGGAAACACTTTTCTATGACGACACGTGCTTTTGTAGCTGACGTCAAGTAAGTGTGTCTCGACATAGTCCTAGAGTACAAACACTAAATGTGTGCAACACTRTCYACTATTTACTACAAAATAGTGTTAATTAACAATAGAAAACAATAGAATTAGCATAATTTAGCAGTATTTAGTGGTATTTGTGTTGCACAGTTTTAGTGTTTGTACTCTACCATGAAATCAAATACCATTACATACCAAGATCTAGTTTCTTTGGCGTCGGTTCCTGTGTTGGTGAAGTCACTGGTGTACATTGAGTAGAATCTATTGTAGATGATGGYGCACTTGGTCTTTCAGCTTTTTTGCGCTTTAAAAAACTGAAGAAACCTAAAAAAGCAAGAATTATTGATTAAGGAAATAATGTTTCGCGTTTTGCGAACGATAATTTAAAGGTCCATATGAATTGATCTCCTACCTCCTTTCTTTTTTTTCTTTTCGACTGAAAAAATGAAAACAAGACTCATAATTCAACATTACTTTCCAGGAAGGGATAACACTGGTCGGGCTAGTCGTATACATCACCGTAATGGATGAATATTGTTTTTAAAACAAAGCTGGAAATTATCAATGAAATCATCTGAATTTCTCGCACGAAACACGTAGCTTGATGTTCAGCAAAATAATTTCACTTATTGAGAATAAGTGAGAGAACAAGTCCTACTAAGAAGCCAACTATTAAACGGGATGATTGAGATGTAATAACTGACAACACACAGAGTAGACAGAGTATGTTTTCTTACTTTGAGCAGTAACTGCAGGATTAGTTTCCTCTTGTATTTGAGGTACGACTGTATTTGATGGTGCCTCCTGAGAGGGACCTTGAGGAGCAGGCGCCGATTGAGGTGGTCTCGGGCCTTGTCCCCTACCCACTGATGGCCCAGGATGTCTTGATTTTGATGGTCCCTGTCTCATGGTGCTCATTTGAGGGCGCATTCCAGGCACAGTGCTCATTTGAGGGCGCATTCCAGGTATGGTATTCATTTGAGGGCGCATTCCGGACATGATACTMATTTGGGGGCGCATTCCGGACATGGTACTCATTTGAGGGCGCATTCCTGGCATGGTGCTTATTTGGGGCCTCATTTGGGGGGACATTATCCGACCTTTAGAGACAAACAATTGAGATATGCCTTCAATGATCTGCGTTGGAACTTCACATCATGACAATTTAAGTATATAGTAAATATGTTCCTAATGAGATAATGTTCGCAAATCCCATGAAATCGTTGAACCAATGTAATGTTCACTGGTGACTATGTGATAGTATTATTTTCTTTCACACACGAATTTCAGTGTCACTTAAATTGTAAATTAGTAGAGTTTGATATGGTAATACCTTGTTCTAAAGACTAAACGTTCTTCCTAAACTTTGCTTTAATCGTTTCTCAAGTTTTCCATTTTTATGGCTTTCTCATGTCAACGTTTTCATGATTTAATGACATTTATTTTTCTTCTAGAAGTGAAAAACATAGGCGATAAAAGATTTACTGAAAGAGTAAAAAAATATAGTTTTTTCACTCGTTAGGCATGATTGAAGAATAAGTTTTGGGAAYCATTACTAAATATAGTTTTTGATTTGTTTTTCAATCGCGTCTTTTGATGAGCAACTTATTTTTGACTGAGCAAACTTCAAAAACATTACAAAACAATATGTAGTTCTAATACCTCAAGGACTAAAACTTCTCGCAAGTTTTCAAATATCAATAAAACTCACCTTAAATTACGACATTTTGACATGAAAAAAGTATTTCAACCCATTTATAGATAGTATTTTTGACAAGAAGGACGATGGAAAGATATAGTTAAGGCCACATACTGTGTGCTGATGTGGTTTTGCATAATTATTACTTATTTTAGACTAAGGAAATATCCAATTAGACGAGTCACCAATACATACTCAATAAGATTGACTTAATTATTTTAAATGAATTCAAACAAAGAAACAATTACAGCTAAGAAACGGTGACATTATCATCAAGAACTGCAAAATGAAAACACTGAAAGTATAAATGGATTTTTAAATTAAATGTTAAATTTATTAAAAAAATATTCCTTGTTTGGCATCTTCCGTGATGTAACCCTCCCACTCCAAAAATTCTCTTGGTTCCAATTATGATGACTCGACCATAACTCTCTACAGCGAAAATGGTTGCCATTTCTATAAACTAAACCTACCTCTTCCTCTACCTGACATCGGCCTTTGWCCACCACCGAACCCAACTTGTGAGGGGACCTGAACTAGAGCTGTCTGACCCGAGAGGGTCTGGACACGCATAAATTGCATAGCAGTCGGTGGAGCGTACGTTCCGTATGTTGAGTGACCCATCATAGCGGCGTTGTAACGGGCCATTTTACGTGCACGGTTTTCTGAAGGAGAAAAAACATTTTAGAAGGAAKCGCGCCAGTCGTTCGTGTAGTGGATGGTGTTGAAACTGTGTATYGATAGCTTGTAATAGCGATCATAACGGTGCAGATTCTTACCATCTCTTTTTCGCTTGAATTCTCTTATTCTTTCTTTCACTGCGGCTCGGAACAGCTGTGCTTCTTGTTCATCGCAGAAGTTTAAACCGGCTCGACAATCCTAAGAACAAATTCAATAAATAACGCAGGTAGAACACGATAAAAAATCAATAAAAATGTACAAATTATTTCCATAACGATTACACRAAAACAGAAGTAGTTATGTACTCCTGACAAAAATATGGTTTGGGGTACCGAAATTTTTTTGGGGGGTTTATAAATCATTTTATTTTCTGTAGTTCATGAGGCAAAGTCGAGTTTTAAACAGAAAACATTTAATATCATAAATGGGCGTGTCATMTTAAAGATAAGTGGATTTGAAAACAGCAAAAACATGAACAACGAAAGCTTACATGTGCGTTAAAGGTATGGAAAGTACTTGTTGCAGCTCGATATTTGAACTGTCGATAAAGCTCTTGCTCCCAAACTATTTTTCGATTCTGAAACAAAAACGGTCGATTTTAGTTCTTGTACAAAATATAGCAGCATAGTGTACGGGGAGCCATTTTGTAGTGGTGTGACGTCATAATCTTGTGACGTCAGTTGTCATGGACTTACTACTTACACGATAGCATAGTGRATCCTTAAGGACGGGAGTAACCACAAAAATGTATCAGAACATTACAATGAGATACTGTAACCTCAATTCGAAGAGATTTTGAGGCTTCTTCACTCTTTCACATAAAATTCATAGAGAAATTCTTTTCTTTTTCAAAGAGAGAAGCAAGTGTTTTTTTGTTCTTTCGCCGGAACATTTGCCGCAGATACTTACTTCAATATCTACAATTCTAATATAATACGATCTTGTAGTACCATCTTTTACCAGACACCCTACACCGGTCACGTGCTTTATCCAGGAATCTCGGTTTGGTGCCGGTGCGAGGAGAAGTTGGACAATAGCTGAACATAAAGACTAAAAACAAAAGAAAACGAGTCACACCATCTCCTTTCCAACATGACGGTCACACAATCCATTTACTCACGTGACGTTTATGGCCAAGAATCTCTTTAACTATGTAATTTTCTTTTTCCGTGAGAAGATAAGATGGCGCATGCTTCGACTTGGCAGCCATCATAACTTTAATTACGTCACAATCATAGCTACGAGATCATTAGTGACATCAAAAAAGGAACGGCGAGGTCGCGCAGGCCTGGTATTCATGATTTGACGTCACAATCATAATGATGATTTCAACTTGTGACATCACAAGAAAGCACATATCAAGCCTGGCTTTCACAATCAATTTATATGTGAAGACCAGCAGACGATTTATGGTGAAAATTAATTTTTTCTAGCGGCTAAACTGTAGGAGTCGACTGCGGGTTCCTGGGAGATATATATCTGTTCTTATGTCCCAGCTAGCTTTAAGTTACAACTGGTTGCCAGTGAGAAATTCAGGCAAAAGAACTCTCCAGGCAGAGAATACTTTCTAAGAATTTTTACCTGGAAAATAAAAATTTCCTAACTAAACAAAGATAAACTTTTTTGAACTTAAAAACGTTTGCCAGGAACAAAATTATCCCGGATTTTAAAGAAGGCAGGACGCCGGCCACATTTTCTTTTTAGATTGTCAACAATGTAGCTCAAAATCCCTTAAAATTCGTACAAGAACATTTAGTAAGAAAAGACCCCGTCGGCTCCTCCTGAAACTGCAGTAATCATCAAAAGACATTGCATGTCAAAAGCAGGTCCATGACATAAGAGAAGAAGTCCATGTGGTATTCATCKGTAG